GCTTACGGCTTAAGCCGCTGCCGCCCGGTGACGCGTAGCCGTCCGTGCGCCTGGGCTCCTCCCGGCGAAGGGCACAGCTGCCGGACAACTCGCCTGCGGCTCAGCCTGCTGTGATGCTGCCGGTGTGAGCGGTGAAACTTTCTCACGGGGATGAAGCCAAAGCCTTAGCAACAGCACCCCCAACCCCCCAAACAACAAAGAACCCAACCCCAGAAAACATAAACATACACATAAAAAACCTTAGGCCTTTGAATCCTATTGCATCTCTGAAACGTTTTACTGCCTGTGTCGTGTTTGTGCTTCTTTTCTTGGTATGGCCAGAAAGCTAATTGATTGAATTCCACATCACCTACACAATTTCCTACCTGACTGGTTACTTGTCTACTGGTGACCAGGAAAAGGGCCTGAATCTTCTGTGTGCTGTTGTCCGTTCTCTCAGTCATCGAAACAGGGTGTTTTTCTCCAGTTAACGTTAAGGTTTGAAAACCAGTAAACAAAGCCTTTGCCTCTGTGTCACAACGACAAAACACTCACCAACTCCAGCTGCTCCTAAGACTTTATTCAAATTCCTACAGCAACAATATTGCTGTTGTCGCTTTCGCCTCCCCCCGTCTTTAATACCATTTCCACCACCAAAAAGCCGAGGTGCGTTTGCACCGTACCATACTTCAAACACCATCTCAAAGCTGGCCTTCACTCCCACCTTCCTCTTACCTTAACTGCTCTTGCTGGTTGCAGGTCAGCTTTGCCAGGGACGAAGGTGCAATATTTTGTGCTGATCCCCTGCCTGGAGTGAATTTAGCTCTGTCTGCATCTTTGTCTTGACTTCTTTCCTCTCTTCCCCATGCCTCCCTCGCTTACACGTCGCTGTAACCTCCGGCCTGTGTTATTCAGGAGGTCAGCTTATCGCACGTGCCCCCGCCACCGTTAAAACCTATGAACCTTGTGTCTGCATCCTGACTGCTTATCTTCCTTCTCCCGCTCAGCCTTGTGCTGCCTGCCTCGCTTTCTTCCTCGCTCCTGTTAATCTCCCCACCGATCTTTTTAACTCCATCTCGGAAACAAACAAACAAACAAACAGGAAAGATGAATATGAATTCGTGGTTTTGTTCACTGCCTCATCTCCTTCTCCCCTTATTCCCCATCAGAATACTAACAGAAGGCAGAACGCCAGGGGGTTTGTATCCTTTGCATTTTATGTTCTTTTTACTTCAGCCTGCACCGCACAAAATATGTGCCAACTCACAGCCGAGGGGTGGAGAAGGGTTTCACCAAGTGAAAGAGCCAAACCCTGACAGGAGCAGGAGGGGCTGGGAGGACTAACCGTCACTGTTTGTCACCTGTGAGCAGAGGCTTTATTACTCTGCTGCTGCTGTTGGGATCACTAATAGCTGCCTTATCTTCGAGCGGCAGTAACAGCTTATATCTTTATGCAAAAGTACACTTGGAAAGCACGAATTTAAACAGAGAAAACAAAACACCCTATTCATGACGGTATGACTTCCTGCCACTTCTAAACGGATCTTTACATGAAGAAAATTATCCCAGTAGGAATAGGGAAAATTCACCATCGTAAGAAGATCTGGGAAGCAGAATCCTACATTTGCCAGTCACATTAAGGCATATGTTGTCAAGCTAACAACTTCCCCAAGATGCTTATGTACTACGTAAGTATTGGAAAAAACCAAACCCTGGCAGCCTACTTTCACACACAGCATGAGTAAGAGACCGTGGTTTTCATGTAACACTCTACATTTTTACCTCTTTGCCCAGCGTGAATCAATCAGATTTTTTGTGACTGTATCTTAGGATTGCCTGAGGTCATGTACCTACATTAATGTAACGGACTAAAAATAAGACTGTCAAGTCCTCACAGTTTTTATACACCAATTTTATTAGATAACCTGTAACAAAGAAAAAATGCCAAACAAATGTGTATATAATTCAGTAGCCATTTCAAAAACTCTTTTGCTCATCAGTGCCAGTACAGCATTTGAACGAACATTTCCTTTAAACCGATTTGCCTTCAGGTTTGTTTTCCTGCAGCAGCTGTGAGACCGCTCCATTTTCTTTCTGTGTGGAAAGTGATCTTTACTAAATACCTGTCACTAGGAGCCTTTAACTTTTTTGACTTCCAGGCAGCCTGCATTTCTTTAACCTTACAGTGCACCAGGCTATGACTGCTCACACATCCTAGGGCACAGTATTGGCTCTCAGCACATGGGACCTCTCCCTCTTCCTTAAACCACCTTCTGTTTAAGACTCTAATCAAACCTCTGTGGGACAGCTCTTCGCACTCCAAATAGCGAGCTGAGGTTGTTATGTATAGACAGGAGACATTTCTCATCCCATTCACTGGAGCTGGGAGTAGCAGGTGTTATTATTTCATCTCTTCTTATAATCCAGAGAAGGAAAGAGCAAGAATGCCATCTGAATGCAGATAACTCTCATGACAGTCAAATGTGTTACAAATATGCTACTGAGGCAGATTCACACGTTGTAAAACAAATAGAAATCCTCCAGAGATGGGGGTGAATATCTAAGATGCTGTTAGACTGAAAAATTCGTGTTCCACAAACAGCCTAACTGCATTTCTTGCCATATGCCAGCACGTTTTCTGCCTATCACAAAGACTTGGCTGGAACGCGAATGGAATTTCCCTGAGCACTTCCAACGGCTAAAACCCCTCTCCTAACCTCTCCCATCAACCGCGCCCTTCTCAAACGTTTGCATATATCCACACCACGTAAGCAAAGCTGCTGGTGATTTTCAAAGCTGCCCATCCTGATTTTTCACCTAACCTAACATCTTATGTTATTACACATGCATGCAGCCATTTCTGACGGCCCATGCTCCACCAAAGCCATTCCAGGTTTAGGTGTAAGAAGCGACGATCAGTGTTAATACCAATCTGGTTCTGTGCAGCCCCATCTGGCACAGGCAGCCTCTCAAAGTCAGTGGAATTAAGTTTTCAGCCTGGACTACAATTCACAATGAGCACCTGTGTGTAACAATCCTCGTCTACTTCCCCATTTCTTAATCCTACAGCCCAAAATTCAATATTGACAGTTACCCTCACCTGCAACAAAGTAGTCCCCAGTTCCTCCTTTATCCAAACAATCTTTCAGTCCCTTCCAAGTGCTGGGCAAATAATTTATCAAAACGGCAGTAACAAAACACTTAGTTCTAAAACCTCAAATGTTTACTTTAAAGTAACAATGAAGAAAAAAATGTTAGCACTCAAGAACTCTTTAGAATCCAAAATCTTCACATCCTTTGTAGAAACTCCAGTGCTTTTCCATCACAGAGCATGGTAGAAACTCCTCCTTAGATACCATTACTCTCTTACTGAACTGAAGAAAATGTATCAGACTCTCAACTGAGTTGAACTGGACAGAAGAGCCTGTTGAAAATGAATGCAAATTATTTTGAGTGTATGTTAGAGTACTAATAAGCAATCACTGGCACCATGATCTCGAGAGGTGTTAACAGCTCATCAGAAACACGTGTTAGAGATTCCCAGGAATCTGAAATGTGTCTTAGGAATCCTGTAGCGTAAGACCCCAGTCATCTTATTGGTATCCCTCACTCGCACCCAGACTTCACTGCGACGAGGGCAATATGTCTGCCATTTCCTGATTTCCAGGAGCTCACTACCCAAAGCAGCGAAGTGGCAAATTGCTGTCAGAAGTGAGAGCGTCCAGGAATGCGAATATAGAGTCTTCTGCATGAGGGTATACGTTATTCCACACCCGTGATACCCACCCCAAAACTTCTGACTCCCAACGAGAGCAGGATTGTGTGAGGGTATCTCACATCCCCAGTGCACCTTCACTGGGCTCGTCCCGTAACACGGTACGTAACGCAAGACAAAGCATGAGCTGACGCCCAGGGTACATTTAAGCATCTTGGACTACAACAAAGATGAGCAGGCTGAATACATGTCCCACCCAAGAAGTTGCATCACAATGCTCCTCACAGAGTCTTTGTCACACCAGAAGAAGCCAACTTACACACTCACAGTGATAGAATCATAGAATCACAGAAGGGTTTGGGTTGGAAGGGGCCTTAAAGATCATCTAGTTCCAACCCCCCTGCCATGGGCAGGGACACCTTCCGCTAGACCAGGTTGCTCAAAGTCTCATCCAGCCTGGCCTTGAAGACATCCAGGGATGGGGCATCCACAACATCTCTGGGCAACCTGTTCCAGTGCCTCACCACCCTCTCTGTGAAGAATTTCTTCCTGACATCTAATCTAAACCTCCCTGATTTCAATTTGTACCCATTACCCCTTGTCCTATCACTACAGGCTCTTGTAAAAAGTCCTCTCCCAGCACCCTTGTAGGCCCCCTTCAGATACTGGAAAGCTGCAATGAGGTCTCCTCGGAGCCTCCTCTTCTCCAGGCTGAACAAGCCCAATTCTTGAAGCCTTTCATCACAGCAGAGGTGCTCCAGCCCTCTGATCATCTTCGTGGCCTCCTCTGGACTCGCTCCAACTGGTCTATATCCTTCTGATATTGAGGGCTCCACAGCTGGACGCAGCACTCCAGGTGGGGTCTCACCAGAGCAGAGTAGAGGGGCAGAATCACCTCCCTCGACCTGATGTGAAAAACAGGGATGTTTCCAAAGGGCATAAATTTAAACTTGCTTGGATGGCAAGTCACAAGAATAGTTTTAAGGACACCTTTAGGTACAAAAGATCTTCAAAGTAAGTCTGGGCATTTTTAAAATAAAATAAGCCAGCAGAAACTGAGCTGAAACATTGTCATTGACACTGAGTCTGCAGTAACATGACAGGCATGACTTCAACCCGTTTTATTTGCTGAAAAAGGCTTTTTCATCCTGAAAAGTCCACATTTTGTATGAAAGCACAGAAAAAAATTGTTGGCAACGTCTGAATTTCATTTAACATCCTGTTTTCAGAGATTATACTTGGAGAAAAAACATTCCTTCCTTATTTTGTAAATGCTCCTCTCAGCACTCTCACTCTAATATTTTAACTTACTGACTAAAAATTCTCAACTCAAATTTGAAAGTGTAACAAAGATATGGCCAAATAAATCTACTGAAATAACTTTTCAGCAGTTGACAGCTTTCTTTGTTGAGTTCTTTGGGTCAAATCAATGTTTTACCTATTGGATGAAGATTCTGTAGATTAAACAGCAGCATTCTACCATAAATACAACTTTACCTGAGTAAGTAACATTTCTACTCTCTCAAATCTCTACTTCTCAGTAATTTTAGATAACAGTCAACAGCTAGCAAAAGCACAGCAATTTGTACATCCCAAAGCTGTCCTCCTCAGCTCTGACATCAGTGTTTGATGTCCAAGTTTCTGTATCCATAGACAGTCATTTTTTTTCCCCTGTTAGGAATGGATCAGTATTTGAACACTGAGTCCCTGTGTTTATTCCTCCATATTCTGACATAGCCGACTAATGTCATCCTAATTTTCATTTTTCTTTCTCAATTCTTTATCCCTTTTCTCCCTCACTCTGCTTACTATTTTTTTAAAATCTCTTAATACTCACTTTGATGTTTCCTTTCTCCCTTTTGCTGTCAGTTAACTCTCATCCACCTACAAAGGACCAGCAGTTTACAGGCTGTAAGAAGCAGAGAAAGGCTCCCATACTGCTATCCCAAACTCATCTTAGTGTCTCGGGTACAGAAGGAAGTTTAGTAAGGTAAGTTGCACACAGGCAGGGCCTTTCTCTGCTTTCCCACCCCTGCTGTCCTGCTAGACACTCTCAGTTTTCTGCCATCTTCATGAACTAAGAGATAAATATCGATCTGTATCAATATCACAACATTTTTTTTCTCCACAAATCTGAGGAAAATAGATGTCACCTCTCTATTTTTTCCGTCCCACTTGCCAATAGCTTTTCGGTCTTCACTGGCATTTTATTTTGGCCTTACAGTCTTGAAACCACTCTAAATGTGTTTCCAGTTGTGTTTCCGTTTTGTTACAGCTTTACAAGACCTTGTCTCTGTGTCAGCTAAGAACCTGGAAACTGTATTTAAGGGGAACTCCAACTAGTGGCACAACTATGAAAACGTCAGCCCAGAATCTCCCATTGCACAAGGTCAGCCACTGAAGATTGACACTTTTATGCAGTCAGCATTCTCTGATCATTAAAATGACCCCCGATAGATCAGTTTTTAAAAATTATTATCCCACCAGTATCCTCTGTGTTTTTCCCAACAAGGAAGGTGCTGGAAATATGCAGACATATGGCTAAGCATTTTATAACTATTTTACTTGTGAAAATTATCTGTAAATGGAATTTAAATGCTCCTCAGTTTAAGCAACGTACTTGAGTCAATTTACAGGTATCAGTAAACCCAGTTTCAGTACTTCCAAAAAACAGGTAAAGATTATTGTCACTTCTGAGGGAAAGCTGAACCGATTTGCAGTACCTGTGGCAAAGACATTCTTCTGACACAGACAGATCTGGTTCAGTGCAGCTAGTCTAGACACGGGCTACAGATGTGTGAGCAAAGAGATCTAAGAACAACATAACTAAAAGTGACAGCATTTGAGCTGAAGTGTCACAAGAGAGTATTTAGAACAAAAACCTGTCTTAAGAGCTTTCAAGTTTCCAAGCATTGGAACATGTTGCCCAGGCAGGTGGCTGAGACCATCCTTCAGAGGTATCTGAGAGATGTGTGGATGAGGTGCATAGGAACATGGTGCAGTGGTGGTATTAGCAGTGCTGGGTTAACGGTTGGACGTGATGATCGTATAGGTCTTTTCCAACCTAAAATAGTCTATGATTCTAAGCTTCTTGAGCCTTATCCATGCTCCTCTCAGGAACTTAGAGAAGACCAGTCACAATCCAGGAGTACCAAAAAGCACTGTCCATTCAGACCAAGTCAGGTCTTAGAAATGACAACCACTGCCTTGCATAAAAACATCTGGGATCCTCTGACTCTTTAAAAAGCTGACCTGCCACTGGATTGGGGCACGTGAATTCTGCCCATGCTAGTGGCAATTTTGAAAGTAACTTTCATTTCAGCTGATCAAGACCTGGTATCTTGGAAGAAGAGATGTCTGTGGATAGACTGTCTTTGTAAGACGAGATCTTTCTCTGACAAAATAAGATGCTTCCCTGGTAATCATAGAATCATAGAATGGTTTGGGTTGGAAAGGACCTTAAAGACCATCTAGTTCCAACCCCCATGCCATGGGCAGGGACACCTTCCACTAGACTTACACTAATCCCCACCTCCCACATTCCCTTCCCCCCACACCCCCACCCCAATGCCTTCACTTTTCTCCAGGTGTCTCCACAGTTCTTGATTCCCTTCCCTTCATGCAATAGAGATCTTAATTCTTTTTTTGTCCTGTGAATACTGGAATCCAAGGCCTCTGCCTTTACAAATTAGACAGTAAGGACAGATCTTTTTCTACAGTCAGACATACCATGCCAGTCAGGCATCGGAAGTTAAGGTGTCCATCCCCTACCCCAATTTTGAAAGTCCTCTTTCCCCAAGAATTAATTTATCGAGTGATCCTAAATTATGCATGCTGCAGTTTTTTTGTGTTGATAGTTGGTAGTTATGACCCTTTAAAAAAAAAAAATCAAAGGCTATTCATAACATCTTACACAATAAATAAATAATTTCTGTTTGGAAGCTACCTAATGGACTATAATGACCAGATCCTGCATAGCATAGCTGTAACAGTGCCAGAAGGACTTCGAGCACCTTCTAATAGTCCTACAGTTCTTTTCTTCGTGTTTCAGACAACTCACCATCTGTAGGTTCAGTTCATCGTTCGCCTGTAACCAGGATTTCTATAGCAATATCATGGAACTTAATTCATACTTTCACAAGTAATTATTCCATTCTGTTGGTTATAGATAAAACGCTAGGTTTGAGTACATAACATTCTTCCTCCACTCAATAAAAAACAGTAATCCTCAGAAGTTGATTCTTTCTTTTTGTCCTCCACTGAGATTGGTAAAAGCAAGGTCATAAAGCAGAAAAAAAAAAATGAGGTATCTAGAATCATTCTTCTTTGAAAGTATTTCATAACAGTGGGCCTTTCTTGTTACAGTGCAACTGTAAGGAAAAAGGACTTGTAGGCATGATTCAAGATTGAGACTTCATGCCTTCTATTCTCAAGCATCAGTTTCAAGGTTATGCTAAGATCTGTTAACAGTAAACCTGTTTGGAAAAAATGTTTGAAAAATGTACAATATTAGTAATATTTTAGAGCTTTCTTGCAAGCACTGCCTAGGTAAGTGATGTAAATACAATGTAGTATTCCCCATTAAAACTTTTGCCTAAATCATAATCTTACAGAGTAACTGTCTCTTCTCCCAGATACGTTGGGTATATGCCTTTTAGACAGTAACAAATGCTTTATATGATATGATACATTCCAAATTATTATTCTTT